TCAAATTAGATCCCAGGAAATGACCGGGGAGGTGCCCTTGCTGCTGGAAGAGCTGGAAGCCCAGAAGAAGGGCTTGCAGTCGAAAGAATGCGAGGCCAGAAAAGTTGAAGATAACCTCCATGTGCATGTTGTTCAATGTGTCTCCGCCTGATCAACCTGCAGGTGCCTGTGTCAGAGGCCGAGACACTGAACCCGGATGACTTCAAGGAGGCAGTCTATCAGGGGTTGGAAGAAGCAGTTAGAAGTTGGCGATCGCAAGAAGAGCTCGCAAGAGCAAAGGCCGAGCCAACACAGCAGGCCGTCGTCCTGCTTCCAAGTCAGGATGCTTGCTGTTTGTGTGCATGCTGCTCCGCTTCGTTGTGCTCTCGACGCAGGCCCAGCTTCAAGAAGAACAAACGAACAAGCTGGAGCAGCAGAAGAGGGAGGAGCTCGTGCCTGTCCGCCCAATTCACGTATGTGCCTGTGTTGTTGCCTCTGTGCCCAGACCGAATTGAAACATGAGCTTGCAAAAACGAAGGCCGAGGAGGAAAAGAAACTTCAAGAACAGATGGCTGCGGAAAGGAAACACGAGGAGGATGAGAAGAGGAAGGAGGTGCACAACAAGAAAATAAGTAATGTACTCGGGACTGCCTTTCAGAATTAGAGTATGTGCTCATCGATGTTATCACACCCGTGTCCAGGCCGAGCTGAAAGAGAAGCTTGCACGAACCAGCCGAGGAAGAAAAGAAGCTTCAAGAGGAGATGGCTGCGGAAAGGAAACACGAGGAGGATGAGAAGAGAAAGGAGGTGCACAACAAGAAAATATAAGTAATGTACTCGGGACTGCCTTTCAGAATAGAGTATGTGCGCTCATCGATGTTATCACACCCGTGTCCAGGCCGAGCTGAAAGAACAGCGTGCAAGAGCCATGGCTGAGGAGGAGAAGAAGCTTCAGGAGATGGCCGAGGAAAGGAACCGTCTGCAGGAGGAGAAGAGGAAGGAGGCGCAAATCAGGAAAAGTGGACAGCAATGCACGATACAGTATGTGCTGATCAATCTTGTCGCACCCATGTGCAGGTCGAGCTGAAAGAACAGCTTGCAAGAGCCAAGGCCGAGGAGGAGAAGAAGCTTCAGGAGATGGCCGAGGAAAGGAAGGAGGTCCCGAAACCAAAAACATCAATATGTCGATGTACTGAACAGTCCAAATCACAGCAGAGGCCTCGGTAGTTTACACATGTCCAGGCACAGCTGAAAGAGAAGCTTCTACAGGAGATTGCTGCAGAAAGGAAACGCCAGGAGGAGGAGGAGGAGAAGAGGAAGGAGGTGCGAATCACGAAAACCTGTAATAATGTACTTAATTGGGACTGCACTTCACAGTAGCGTATGTGCTGATCGGTGTTGTCGCACCCGTGTCCAGGCCGAGCTCAAAGAGCAGCGTGCAAGAGCCATGGCCGAGGAGGAGAAGAAACTTCAGGAGGCGGCCGCGGAAAGGAACCGCCTGGAGGAGGAGAAGAGGAAGGAGGTGCCGAAACCAAAGATATCAATATGTCGATGTACTGAACAGTCCAAATCACAGCAGCTAGAGGCCTCGGTAGTTTACACATGTCCAGGCGCAGCTGAAAGAGAAGCTTCTACAGGAGATTGCTGCGGAAAGGAAACGCCAGGAGGAGGAGGAGAAGAGAAAGGAGGTGCAAAGCAAGAAAATCTATAATGTACTCGGGACTGCAACAGTATGTGCTGATCGATGTTGTCGCACCCATGTCCACCAGGCCGAGCTCAAAGAACAGCTCGCAAGAGCCAAGGCCGAGGAGGAGAAGACAAAGCAGGTCCTCTTCTTGTTTCCAAATTAACTACGTTTCTATATGCAGGCTATTCAGCTTGTCCAGGTGTCGGTGGTTTCGTCGGGGGTGCTTGTTAGACCTTCTTTGCTGTCGGTTGGTTGGCTGTGCTTGGCGATAGCCCCAAACCTTGCTTCAGCTCTGGAACCAATCCATTGGCCTCGGCTGGACCAGCTTTGCCTGCAATTCTCCACGCAGGCCGAGCTTCAAGAGCGGATTGCAGCGGAAAGGAAATGTGAGGAGGAGGAGAAGAGGAAGGAGGTGCCGAGACGAGTTTAATTTGTAGCCATACAGTCGCAGCCATGTCCTTCTCCACACATTCCCAGGTCGAGCTTCCTCAACAGACCAAGAGTTGTCGTTCCGCTGCGGTTGTGCCTAGAAGCACTCTATATAAAACCAGGCTGAGAACACCAATGCGGCGGGCAATCCCCTTATGGGCTGGACAGATCACGAGGCCGAACCTCTTCCTTCTATCATGTTTGCAGTGTTGGAGATCAACTCCGTACTGCCACGCAGGTCCAAGAATTCAAAGCGGAGAAAAGAAAGAAGCTCTTGACAATGCTTGAGCAAGCCAAGAAGAGAAAGGCCGAGCAGCTGCCCGAAGACGGCCTTCCTGAAACTTCCCTGCCAGCACGTACGGAACCTTTCAACGCCGGCCACCCGAAGCCACAAGGGACAGTTCCCCAGCCCACGGCCCCGAATCCGGGAGCCGCTGACCAAAAAGGCAGCGAGATTAGGATGCTTGAGCCCACGGCCCCGAATCCGGGAGACGCTGACCAAAAAAACAGCGAGATTAGGATGCTTGAAGAGCAACTCCAGGCTCTGAAGGCTGGCAAAGAGAAGTCCATCTTGGACTCAGTTGCCAGGCAATCCATGGACAAGGCCGACAAGGCCTTGGAAGAGCTCGGCTGGAAGGTGCATGCCGAAAAGGAGAAGCCGCCCACGCAGGTGTCAACAGTGCCGGCCAAAGCCAACGGTGAACAGCTGTCTGCTCCTGCAGAAGTTGAGCTGCCCGCCGCAAAAGTGCAACAGCAGGTTGCAGAGTCGATGGAGCACGATTCTGGCTCTGGCTACACTCGCCGTGCAGCTGCTAACCGCTAACCTCCTGAAGAGACTCTCGAACAACCCGGCTCGGCTGCTGTCCTTGCCGCCGGCTGTGACTGCTGCCGTGCAAGACGACGATCAGAAGTCGGCCTTGATCGACGCCTTGGTGCAATCAGCCGGCTCCCTCGAGCAGGTGGCCGCCCACTACCATATCGAGAGTGTGCAGGAGAAGGCCCGCAAAGAGAGAGCCAAACTGACGCCTCTTACGGCCATCCAGCTGGAGAAGATGTACGGCTCGGACGCTCCAAGAGTCATGCGGGAAAAGCAGGAGCAGGGCTTGGTTCAAGACGATCCGAACCTCACGGGTGCCAAGCTGTATCTGCACTCTTTGTCGACGAGGACGGTCCAAGGGCCTCGTGTATGTGTATCTTTTTTTGCTTTTCTGTCCCAATATTGTAAGATCCAGCCAGGGAAGTCGAGACGAACTCCCTGGACCGTGCCACTGCTGCATTTGTGTACGTGGAAGTGTCATGCTTGCACTCATGTGGTAGAACTCGTTATAAAAATGGAGGTCAGACAACTTCCTCGGGCGGTGCTTTGGACACAGCGGATCCAACAGCTCGAGAGTATCTGGCAAATGTGCAGCACCTTCTCTTCTAAATTAGTCAACTCCACATCTTTGTAATGTGTCTGCAACAAGTTCCTTATTATAATGCTCTCCTCGCAAGGTCAGCCCTGGCCAAGAGTGGCCAAGCAAGGCCATCGATCGGCAGTGGCTCTGCCCCATCGACGCCGGCCAAAACTCCGCCTGGAACTCCGGCTTCGAATCCTACTCCGTCACCGAGTGACGAGGGCAAAGCACCCAAACCTGGAAAAGGGAAACCGCAGCGAATGGAGCCCCTGACAACCCATGAGAAAGCTGCAGACCTCCGCAACAAGGTCATGGCCAAGGTGACTGAGACACACAAGATGATTACTCAGCTCAAGGGCAACGTCTACGCTGCGAAATGTTTGGAGGAGCTGACGGCTTATGAGCAGAAGTTCCAGCCCCCTTGTTTGCAGCCAAATCGACAATGCAAACTGACATCTCCCATGACTTGAATTCCCATATGCTTTCCCAGGAATGTGTGGGACCAGGTCAGCGACCTGATGAAGAAACAGGTTGAGGACGAGCAGCTCTACCTCCCTTTGGGCCGCGAGTTCCTTGTGCTGAAGCAGGTCACGGTCCGTTAAGATTGTGTTCTTGCATGACCTATACGTAGTACCATCTCTTTGCTTGCTCCATTGAACAGGAGTCCGATCGAACCATCAAGACGGCCGCCTCGCTGATCAAAGCTGCCAACTTAGCCTTGGGCCCGACCAAGGAACCCAAAGCCAAGGCTAGCAGAAAGAGGAAAGACAAGCAGTAGATCCAATGGATCATAGTGCAGGGTTCTGCACGTGCAGATCAGGATTGAGATCTCTGCCGGTGCAGCTACATATAGGGGAGGAGGTCTCCTCTTTCCAAGGGTTATATGCTAGTTGCACGTGCAGAGTCTATGGCAGTAACGTACTGTATTTGGCGTATATATATATATATATGTCTGTGTGTGCTCCGGATGGAAGTACTGGGCCAAGACCTGCACGTGCTTTTGGGGCACATCTGAAAGCATGTGCAATCGTGCTCACGATCACTGCGACTGCAGTGAACATGCACATACGCACAAGGCGCTGGATGAACCAGCAGCCTATACAGGTATATTGTACGGAACCACAGCGGCGAGCTGCAAAAAAACATGCTGCATCAGGATCCTCTTCCAAGCTTTGTCCCTCTGCTGCTACCAGAATGGAGCATTTTTTGATTGGCAGGTACGACAATGCGGGGATGGACGAAACGATCTGCGAGGGCAAGCGTCGAGTGAAGATGTGATTCTGCCACGTTTGTTACTTCATGTGCTGATGTAGCATGCTCTAACTTGACCTGCTTCCGCAGATCTACAGACGATTTCCAATCTCATGGAGCTCGCATGCTCGCCGAAGAGGTGGGCAAAGGAGCAGCCAGGAATTGCAGGTGAGAATATTACTTACTTGTCCGTGAGGATGAACAAGCCGTATAATCAAGCAACGTTGCACATTTTCCGACCCATGGTATCTAAGGCAATGAGCTACTCTAAGAGCCAAAAACTGGCGAAAGCCTTTGCCAACGACGGTGTGAAGAGACGGGACCTCCTGCAGATGGCGTCCTCTGCACAAGAACGGGATGCCTACAAATGGATGAGGCTCCCTTTCGACCCCGTCAAGGTGCAACTTCCTGTGTTCAGCACGACAGCAGAGAGGGAAGACAAGCAGACCCGTGTCCGAAGCATTTGGTATGTTACACTGTTCTTTTATAAGCTGCGCCTGCCGACGACCTTCACCATGTCCAACACGGCACCGTTTCATTTGCTTCTGAGGTTGGTAACAACACCTGCTTCGATCGTGTTGCCTTCTGATGTCTTGGCGGAGTTGAGCAAGCGCGGGCTCCTTTCCTCCTGCCTTGAAGGCTTTGGATCTGTGCGAGAATGGTGGGACCGCGAGATCGATCCTGTCTACAAGGGCCTGATCGACCACTCAGATTATCCTTATCCGCTGCTTTTTCATGAAGACGGTGTGCCAACCACGAAGCGAGAGACTGTGGTATTTTGGTCGTGGTGTTCAGCCTTGACCAACCAAAGGTCCGAGATCAGCAGGTTCTGCATCATTGGTGTTCCGCAATCTCGGATTGCGAAGCAAACTCGTACTTTTATTGCCAGGATAATATCGTGGGACCTCAAGTCACTGAAAGAAGGATATTTTCCAATGCACGACTGGGACGGCAACGAGTGGCCAAAGATGTCCCCTGCCTTTAGCTGTAGCTCCGTAGAGATATATAGCTCCGCCAGCCCGTGAGGTGAGATGTCCAGGTTTTTGGATTTGCAGGACCAGTCGCCAAAGCCGAATGAGATTCTGTACCGGTTCACATCCAGAGCTCAAGCGTGGTGCAAGGAAAGACGATTGGATCTTGGAATAAATCCGATCACAATGGACTCGCTGAATGCGACGCTGAAATATCCTGAATTGAGCTCCACGATCAAAGCATCGAGATGCAGGAATCTTTTAGCCTTCGTCACCCACTTCGCCGTGGAGCTCGAGAAACAGCTCGACCCGGACGATTGCAGTTCCGAGACAGCTCATTGGAGAAGGGCCCGTGCCTGTATGCTGTGGTCTCTCGATGCTGCCTTGTCTGTGGCTGGGACCGCCCACAAGCCCCACATGACCGATGGAGAAACAGAAGAATCCGTGTGGCTTTTCGAAACCTTCCTGCTCTTGTACCAATACGCAGCTGCCCGTGCATATGGACTGTCTCAATTACTTTACAAGATGAGACCAAAGCACCACTATGCATCTCACATGATCGCAGAAGTCGCGCAAACAAAGCTGAACTTTATGCACTGTTCCAACTTTGGTGACGAAGACCATATGAAGTATATGAAGAAAATTGGCTGTTTACTGATCACTCTTGTCTGTCCCTGTCTGAACTTATTTGTTGTAGTTCGAACCCTTTTTGGGCATGCAGCTGTTCAGTCAATCACCTAAGGAGTGTGGCTGCTGGATGCCATGCGGCGGTGCAACTGGTATCTTGGGCTCGTCGCTACATCACATTGAAGAGCTTTCAATGGTCCCGCATCATGAGATAAAATGTGGTACGAGTGATCACAGTCCCCTGGTTTAAAGTCAACACTCGAGAGACATAAAAACAAAATGTCCTGGATTCCAGGACGTATACGGTCCAAAAAAGTGATATAAGAGTCTAGCATGCAGCTGCTCGACCTTCCAACTAAAACCCACCAGAGCACCACAAAACAATAATGCCCAAAACGCAAAGCTACTACGTCACAGACCGACCCCGGTGCTGACGATTCTTGCCAAACCAGCATGATTTCTAAACCCTTTATGAGTTGGAAGCCCTAAATCTCGGTTGCAGCATATTCCCGCCGCCATGGCGATTAAGTTACAAGCGTCAACAAAAGACCATGCTCCACTACCAGCCATGCTCCGCTACCAACGTAAAACCCGTTCAGGTTTCCCCTAAGACACCGAAGCTCGAAAGCAAATTGCAGTTGAATCCATCCCGTAGGGCACACGCTGCATGCCGGCAAACATATCGAAGTCAGATGGGTGCTTGTGCTTGGCGTGACTTAGTTGGTCGGTCGGTCTGCAGTCGGTCGGTTGTGCATGCTTGGAATTCGCATCGACGTTGCCTTGGAATGCTTGGGTGCTTGTGCTTAGTTGGTCGGTCGGTCAGTCGGTCGGTTGTGCATGCTTGGAATTCGCATCGACGTTGCCTTGGAATGCTGGTGGCATGGTTGTTCCAGTTGCTTTGCTGTGTACCTTGAGGGTGTTGTCGCCCTTGCTTGGGATTCGTCGGTCGGTGAGTTGGGAATTGATGTGCATTGATGTGCTTGATTGATCGACTGCGTGGTTGCTCCAGTTGCTCATGGAATTGTTGTTCTTGCCTTGAAACACTTGAGCGTATCGCACTGGGATTCATCGGTTGCTTGCTTGGTTGCTTGTTTGGTTGGTAGGTTGCTCCAATTGCTCAGGGAAGTGTTGAATGTACCTTGAAACACTTGATCGTGTCGCACTTCATTGGGATTCATGAGTTGCTGGCTTGGTTGCTTGCTTGGTTGCGCTTGCTTTGTCTGCTGTGGATGCGAACGCAACCATGCAAGTACAGCACTAACATCGTCAAAACGCCGCGTCCACTAAGGTCGTCAAATTTAAACCCTGAACTATCGTCGGGACTCGGGTAAATATCGTCGGGCTCTGGAAATATCGTCGGGGGTCGGGAAAATATCGTCAGGACTCTGGCAAATATCGCCGGGACTCCGGAAATATCGTCGGGACTCCGGAAATATCGTCGGGACTCGGGAAATATCGTCGGGACTCCGGAAATATCGTCGGGACTCGGGAAATATCGTCGGGACTCCGGAAATATCGTCGGGATCCATAAATACGTCAAAATATCGTCGGGATGTTACTTGTATTTGAAATATCGTCGGGATCAGAAAAATATCGTCAGAGTCCAGGCAACCCAGGTCTGACGATATAATATCGTCAAAAGCATGTCCAGGCATGGAAGCCCAGGCAGCCGACCGCCGCTGTTGGGAAATCATCGCCGACTTAGTCAATGTGCAACATTGGAAGCTGGATGATGCGCTTCACGAAGTCGCTGAGGTGCGCTCTGACTTGCACAGCTTACTCGCCCCGAGGCCTTTCATTCCCAAGCCCAAGTTCGACATGGACAACAGCTGGAAAGCCCGCTTTACGGGCAACGGGCGAGGTGGAAAGGGGGGCGGCCGTGGCGGCAAAGGTCGCGATGGCAAAGGCGAGAAAGGTGAACGCTTTGAGAGGGGCGGCAAAGGCGGCAAAGGCAAAGACAATAAAAGCAGGCCACACCCCCCGGCAAGTGGCTTTCTACGCTCTTCATGGACGGCAAACGTCAGACACTTTGCATGAGGTACCAGAGCGGGCAGTGCAAGGACCCGGCCACCTGCCGCTACTTGCACAGATGCACAGTGCCAAAGAGTGACGGCGCAGCGTGCGGGGGCAACCACCCGGCTTGTCAGCATGTAGCCACCCCGCGTTAGGAAACCCACTTCAGCGACCAGCGGGACGTCGCTGAGGAGGTCACGGCTGTCCCGCTTAGTGTGCCGGCACAACCGTCAGGTTCTGCAGGGGCCACCTCGACACTGCCCAAGGCAAGTGCCCCGGTTTCCTGCGCAGCCTCAGCGCTCAGTGAAGGGTCTCTTGATTTCGCTACCTGCTTGGAGCTCTTAGTGAAGTACTTTTCCACTCCCTTCAGTTCTTCTTCACAGTGCATCGACTCAGCCATTGCCGCTTCCGAAGCTTATTTTAACTTGGGAGCATTCGCTTTTGACAATGGTGCAAGATCCTGGAAGACGTGGCGTACCTTAAATGTACCTATACCCCCGTTTGGGCGCCGTATATAAGAGTCATTTGAAGTTTAAAGGACATTTGGTCATTTAAGAGACATTTGAAAACCAAAAAGACGAATCAACAGTTTTCGCCTCAATCGGGTCGAACAAACAAGTTCGCCATGGATTTCACGAATGTCACAGAACCAAGCCGAATGTCGCGGACAGGTCGGGTTTGTCCGGAACTTTTGGGACGGCCCGAAACCACAGAGATTGGCAGCAAGCAGCGATATATTCATCGCAGGCACGTGAAAAAATCGAGCCACACATGCTTGAGCAAATAACATTTGAGCCACACCTACTGTGATTTGAGTCGGGTTTGTTTTGAGCCATAAAAACAATTCGAGCCACACTTAGGGTTTATTTAGGGTTTGTTTGAGCCAAACAACACTTGAGCCACACTTAGGGTTTTTTAGGGTTTGTAAGGTTTGGGCGTTGGGGTTTCGGGTTTAGGGGGTGGTGTAACAAAGGTTTTGGGTTTGGGTCTCCCTGTCTCGTTCGTCACCCTGAATGCCCTGAACTCGAAAGCGACAGTAAAAACCCTTAAAGACGGAAACTTGCACCCTGAAGCCCGACACCAGGGTGGGAAGGAACACCCTTGAAACGGAAACTTAAACCAAAAAACCCTTCCACTCGCCGCCTTTCGACGTTTTCTCACTTGGGCAGCAAGCACTCCAGCAGGGCCTGCTTCGCCTGCACAGCATTTCTTTTAAGCAAAGATAGTTCTGCCGTTCGGTGGCTTACTTTGCGCAGGATGCGCACACAGTGCTTGATATGATCCTCGTCCATATAACAGTTGTCCCACCCCGGCGATCGTTTGCTCGGTCGCTTGTCTCTCAGCATGTGGATCAAATGATGAAATTTTGGTCGCAGCTTGAAGTAGTACTCCCCTCTGTCGCATGCTATTGTGGCCAGTGCACAATAGGAGCTCAGGAAAACATCGCCCACCACACGTAGGTGTCGTTGCTGCTCCATCGTCAGAAACACACCGGAACTCATGGCACAGCGGCTCGTGTGCATCCAGTCCACTTGCACCATTTGAAGATCAAACCCATCGATAAATGCAAAAGCCGGACGGTCCACCCAGGGCTCATGGGAATATTCGGTCGTTGTCCAGGGAGCATCAACATTGATGTCGGTGTACAGCATGCCCGGATCGGATCTCGATGCCAAACACTTGAAGCATACCTATATAGCTGCGAAGTCAAAAGAAAGGTTTTGACCAACACGACCCAAACTTTGATTTCAAACCAAACCCTTAGAACAACAAAAAAAATCCTAATGAGTTGTGAAGACCTGGGCCTTAAATCTAAGGATGCAGTTTCGGTTTTGGCTGGTACAGTCCTGCGGGGTGCTCGCATTGCGAACGAAGTTGAAGCACTGGGTCAAATATTTGAGATCTCCACGAAAAGCCACCGGAACAAAATAATAGGTCTCCTCCGATGCAACTGTATATGAGGTGGGCTCATAGGTTCTTATTTTGTAGCGAGTCTTACACCACAAACAAATATTTATTTGTAAAGAAACTATGCGTACACCCGCCCGAAACCTAATATAAGGACCTAGTAAAAACCCTACATCATGGAGGTATATCATAGGGTTTAGGGTTTCGGGATTTGCCGGGCAAGAATCTCCAGAGCTGCATGGTAAGCCTTTATGCATGACTTCGCTGATGTCCTTGACCACTGCAGCGTTCAGGTTCTGGAGGGTCTCATTGGTTTTGCCATTCACAAAGTATCTGCTGGCCAGAAGCGAGTAGATCATATAACGAGATGCTTTGCTGTGCTCACGGAATACCGACAGGTCAGGAGTCCTTAGACAAATATATAGTCGGGTTTGACTTAATCCAGGCTACACCGGCTTCATACAAGATCCTTCAATTCAACTTGTGATTTAAGCTTGCAGCTGCAGCGGCCACGAAACCACCATCCACGAGCTGTTATTGAGGGTCCCCTCGTCACCCCAAAGGACTATGGGGATTGTGTAGCTCCAAAGCTTTCGCTTGTTCTTCAGCCAATGGTCAGGGAAGTCAGGCAGCAGTTGGGCCCAGTAAGAATGCAGATCAGCGCTCGATGGGTACATGGACTCCACGAAATCCTCCTCGAGCAGTGCCCTTGCCTGAAGTCAAGTCGTGGCTTCCGGACGGGTTTGGAGGTTTCGATTTTCTTGAACTTATACCAGGGATTTGCAATCAAGGGTAGGGTCGTTGTGGACAAACGAACAATTGAACTTAATTTAGGGTAGACTTCGCGATGAAGTGCTATTTGGAAAACTAAAATTCATGCACAAACATGCTGGCCATGTCAGAATCCGAAACACCATAGAGGATGGCAGCACAACTGGGCATTGTTCAATGCAGGGTTCCTCGTCCTCACCACGGATGACTGGTGCAGCCACATAGGTCACGTCGGTATTGAAGGCATACCCAGCTTTGCAAACTCTTCTAATGTATTCAGGCTCCCGCAGTGCACGGGTGTCGTACCCATGCAATAATTCACTGTCATAGATGTCACCTAGCTGGGTTGTTATACCGATTATCTATATACTCGTAAAGTATTTAACGTATAGTGCATATAAAAACATGTCAAAGTCTTAAGCAGCATGACAACTAATTTCAGCACAAGGCTCCGAGGGAGCATGCCAGTGATAAGCTTGCCTCACCAGCAGTCGTCGCTTTGACTAGCCTCGGATCTAGCTGTGACGAGTTAAAGCAGCTAGAACCGAGAAGCCGAGCAACAAATCATCGAGGCGATCACTCGTAGCCTTGGATCCAGAGCTGGAGGAAGGCTTGCCTGCGGTGGGCCAGGGCGTTTCGGTCTTGGGGGCATAGCATTACAGGGTTTAGGGGTTTAGGGTGTAGGGGTTTTGAGTGAAGGTCTGGGTCAGTCCAGGTGCACTCTCGGAGCAATGTTCTGCACACGTTCCAATTTTTCAAGCACGGACATCCTGCTCGTATGGCCCCACGTGCGATCACATCACTCATAAGCGGACCAGTGTCAGTCTCCAGCACTCCCAGCTAGCAACTTGTGTGGATGTGCATTGCTCGGCTGGTGACTGAGCCTAAGGCCCAAGCCCAAACCCCTGCCCACCGCAACTGCTTAATGCAGCGGGTTCAAATCTTGAAGCTGTGCCCTGAAAGCCCGAATTATCAAACAATCAGAACTGTTTGACAAAGCTCACAGCATACCTTGAAATGATCACAGGGCCATCAGCCAGCACAACACAGCCAGCAGGAGCATTGCTCGGGGCATCGTTGGAGCAGTAAACTCTTGCGTGAACCAGTCGGTCACTAAATATTCATCTTACCCCGAAACCAACACTCAATGCTAGGCCAACTCACGGTCGCGTCCGCAACTCCTTCAAAAGGCCTGAAGCTTGGCCTTTGGTCAGCTTCAGCTGCTCGATCTGCCGGGCAGCGGACAATGGTATCAGGCCGGGTTATGATTATTAAGTGGGTGTGAGATTTATAAGGATCGGGTTTCAGATATGGGTATATATAGGGTTAGGATACAACTACATTGTAGGGGTTAAGGACCGGGCTTATTCAGATATGGGTAGACATAGGGTTAGGATACAACTACATTGTAGGGGGTGTTGTTTGGGTTTTCATAGCACAGGGCAACCTCTCCAACCTAATAAGTCGAAGCAATACCTGGCTTGGCAACATTTATATCGCAGCCTAATTCAAAGCAAAACCCCGGCCATCCTACACCAAGCCTCCTCGTGGATCTGCTCGCATAGACCATCGAACTTCTCACCGGCCTTTGTCATACCCAGCCTGAGCAAGGTATTTTAGTACGATATGTTAAGGTCATCGGGCTTTGTATGGAGTTTAGGGTTCTGGGAATGTTGATTTATGTGGATGGGTCAACAGCTTGGGGTTCTCAGCAAAGGTTTAACGTGATTACAAGCTTCAGGGTTTTTGGCTGCAGGGCTTCAAGATTTGGATGTTCCGATTTGACATGTGCCGGGTTTGCAAAATCTATAGACAAGTGGCTTCAAGCTGAAAGCCTTCATTTTCGCATCGTGGGCTTTCAGGGATTTCAGCAGGTCCGGGCTATCAGCCTGCGACATATCGATGATCATATTGCTCAGCTGCCCGATTTCCTTCTTCACGGCTGCACCTCGGATGATGTTGCTACACAAAAAAACTTGCATGCATAGATTCATACACCGACCGGTCATTTTAAACAAGTAACTGAACTTGGCGTGCTTCTCTTCATCGGTCCTGAAACTCTCGTTGATGAGACTCTTTCGCCCCACAATGGAACTGGCCGCGCTTCTTGCCGGCCCCCTTGTAGACGGAGCTCGACGGTTCTTGCCCGAATCCGAGCGACCTGCCAGATAAGCGATTCAAGACTACTGAGTATAGTGTTTACACACAGAGGAAATATGATTTGAACATAACAACAGGTGTCAGGCCTGCACCAGCAGCAGCTTCGAGGTCACGGTTGTAAGAGTCGAAGGCTCGAAGAACGTCCCCACTGAGTGGGCCAGTGGCCGGTCCTTGGCCTGCTCGAGCCTTTTGAAGAAGGCTCGGCATGTTGGGTCCATTTCCCAGCATCTGGTCCAGCAGGGCTGTCGTTGGCCGAACCCGTGCATTCATAGAGCAGCCCAGCCTGAGTTCAAGCATCATTTGCTGGGGACATTGCACGAAAAACACACAAAGATGCACTTGAAAAAAATTGGAAGCCAAGCTGCTTTGTCTCGGAAGTCTCAGTCCTTGTCCTCTTTGTCACCACCCAGAACTTTGTCTCTTCAAGCACCCCCGGACAGTCCGGGTCCTCCTCCCCCGTTTGTCGGGAGATAATGGACTGTATTTTCCGCCTTGGCTCTGCTGCTAGCACGTGTGGCCAGCTTGCAATAAGATTTCAATGGAAAGTAATCAAGATTGTTATTCTATGGGTAGACAAGGCACTCACTAAAGTTGTAAGGGGCTTTAGACATGTCCTTGACACTGACTTGCTCCCAGATCCTTTCTCCCTTTAGGGATTCCTGCCGGTGCATCTCCAGAGACGTCTCCATGGCATCAATGTTGCCGCCCTTGCTTACCCACTCTCGTAGGGCTTTGTTTCGATCCTTATTAGAATGAATGCAAGCATATGCTGCGACCTGATTCCGAAACAAACGAAGATTATGAGCCGAGTATCGGTGAGGGAGCCATCCATCAGCTGGCTGATGTTGGGGCAGCTCGCGAACTTGCCGGACTGATGCGCCCGTGCCTGGGATCGTATAGCGGGTAGGCTTGGGGACCTTGAGGATTTAAGCTTCGGCTTTTTGTTCAGCATGAACTAACTCACCCATACACACACATAATATATTATATATATGTATATATATATATATACATATGCATATATACATATACACATACACACAGACATCTAACATACATACATATATATATATGTATATATATACATATATATATATATATATGTATGGATGACTGTTACGAAACAAAATGAGTTGTAAGGTTCAAAGGGGTAGTATAGGGCCTAGGTTTAGGGTTTAGGTTTTGGCTTCAAGGGTTTTCCAGGTACTATGTGTAATCGGGGATGCAATAACGGTCCCCACAAAGGCGACTCTCCTTCGGGAGAGGCTGATACAAAACAACATATGTTGTCAGGTTTATATAGGGATATTATATAGGGCCTAGGCTTTGGCTTCAAGGGTTTTCAAAGTATATACTAGGTTACTAGGTGTAATCGGGGATGCAAGGGGTTCAAGTCGACAGGCAAGTTGCCATCTGCATGTACTCCTTCTTATGCGTCGAAGTGTTGATCACGAGTTCGGCTTCGGGGGCAGCAGTGGGTTCCGGGGCTCTCGCAGGACTGGGTTTGGTGTGTGGGGCAACGGCAGCAGCGGGTTCCGGGGCTCTCGAAGCTTTGGCTTTGTCGGGGGTTACAGCAGCGGCGGCACCTTTCCCAAAGTGGTGGGTCTTGGCCTTGGGCGGGTCCACGTCCACAATCGCAGGCATCGAGCTAGCACGTACTGGCGTGGGCACAGGCTTCACTGTCGTTGCAGCTGTCTTCGTTGTCGGTGCAGCTGTCTTCGTGGTCGTTGCTGCAGCTTCCTTTTGCTGCAAAAGGCGGTCCATACGCGAGAGCGTATTGGAGATTTCGTGCTCATAGCCTAGTTGGCTCGCACTCGGCCCAAGCCTTAGGATGCTAGGATTTTTCACAAACACTGATTGCAGTATTCGATGCCAAGCCAGGATGCTGGGATTTTTTGCAAACACTGATTGCAGTATTCGATCCAAGCTTCGATCTGAGAAGTTCCGAAAGGTCCGTGAGCGTGTCTTCACGCTGGAGCTGGGCATGCCCGGCGAGGTGAAGTCGATCCTGTAGCCCGTCTTGCCCTGCTTTGAAAGTAACACATGACCTGGGATCCAAGGGTCGGGATAGCATATTTGGGATTTGGATCACGAAGGACTTTGGTAGTATTTGGTTTGCCGGGATTGGAAGTGGGGCTTGAGGTCGGGATTTACAGTCTAGATAGGCTTTCAAGTTCAGAGGGATTTGAGCTGTTCTTAATCGACGAAGTTTGTGGGTTTTCCTCACCCAGAGGCTGAGAAGGTTCAGGGTTTGTGGTAAATTGGCTCATAGGAGGACTTATCTTCGAAGGGCCGGGCTTAGGCTGTCTTCGGGTTTGCAGGGCTTCGAAGGGGTGTGCTGGCGGTCGGGAAATAGACTAGTTCGAGGGGTTTTAGTTGTTCTTGAATGAGGACTTGGGGGCTTTTCCCACCGTAACAGCTTAGGGTTTAGGGGTTTAGGGGTTTAGGGGTTTGGGGGTTTAGGGGTTTGGGAGTTTAGGGGTTTGGGGGTTTAGGGGTTTCGGGGTTTAGGGGTTTGGGGGTTTAGGGGTTTCGGGGTTTAGTGACTTAGGCACTATATGGGTTCGAAGCTTGAACTCGGAATTGGTACTTTTGCATCGCGGGTCAGGCCACGGGTTGCAGCTATGTCATCTTGTGGACACAACGTACACACAGAATGGACCCTCGACATGATGACTCGGCACCCCTTCACCACCAGTAGCCTTATTAAGGCATCGACGGTGGCTTTGCCATTTGTCGATCAGTGATGCCTCCATAAATGCGGCCCCTTCTGTAGAGGCAAGAATACCAACAACTCGCATTTCAGTGAAGCAAGGGTTTGTAGAGTGCACATACCCATAGCCAGTGTTGTGCCATCTGTGAATTGGATTGCTCGTGAGGCCGATTTTAAAGTAAGCGCTGGGACTCAGGCCCCGGATAACAATGTTCGCCCGTTCAAGGATGTGGCTCGCTAAGGTCTGTGAGGGCAGCAGGTCTAGCTTCAAAGAAGGATCGGCCATGATGTCTTGGATAAGGCCTTTCAGGCGAGGTAGTTCAGCCAGGTGTTTCGGCACCCGAAGCTTCCAATAATTATCCGAAACAAAGCGAACAGCGGCACCGTTCTTCTCCATAACAGCACCCCGAGGATGCACGGCAACGGTGACGGGGAGCTCGAAATGGTCTGGCGGCGCCACCAATCCTGCAGAGGCCCAGCACTACAGAACAATTCTAGCCCCGTATATATTATGAAGTGCCACAGTCCAGAAAATAACACACTCGTGAATATGATGCAAACTAAGAATCTTCTTCGCTGCTTTTCTCTACCATAAGCCAACAGCTCCGTTAACCAGGCTTCCGAGTCGTCGAAGTCACCGGGAATCGTGCCAGAGCTAGTAGAATCTGATGCACCCAGCTCGTCGTTAGCACATGGCATGCAGACACTCTGTACCATAAAACGGAGGGCTGTGCAGCCGAGCTGGCCCTGCAAAGCAACAACACCTTCGGAGTGTTCAAGCCCTCCACAACCACATTGGAATCATGCATGGACAGAGAGAGCGAGAGAGCATATGTATATGCACGAAGTGTACATTTGTTTATCTCTGTAGACGTGCAAGCACAGGTCTACATGTAGTCAGTCACACACATACACATACATACATATACATACATACACATACAGATACATGCGTGCATTCGATGGTTTCGGGGTTTAGGGTTAATTTGTGTCGAGTCACGGAGCACCACCTTCATCATCATCGCCCGCCTCATCGTCTTCCAGGGGCTCACCATCGTTCTGTTCCTCGTCTCCCTGTGGCTCATCCTCCTCGAGTTCCTCGTCTCCTTGTGGATCATCCTCCTCGAGTTCCTCGTCTCCTTGTGGATCATCCTCCTCGCGTTCCTTGTCTCCCTGTGGCTCATCCTCCTCGGGTTCCTTGTCTCCCTGTGGCTCATCCTCGTCCTGCTGCTGCTCCTCTGGTGGGGCAGGATCCACTAAGGTTTCCGGAAACGGATCCTCCTCCTCCTTGCCTTTGCTTGCCGATCTGGCCTCACTCACCCTGTCGATTTCATCCAGCATTGCCTGCACTTCCGCCAACCTCTCAGCTTCCGAATCAGCGGCGACGGTGTCCTCATCCTGTGCTAGCTTTCGCCTTTTGGTGGGCTTGCTCTTGCTGCTCAAACGGACTTTTGGTGGCGTTTCGATGCTCTTGCTGGGTGACGGCTTGCCTTTGTTTTGCTTGGCCTTGCTTGCTGACTTTGCACGCCGGGGCTTGGGCTCCTCATCCTCTGATGGCTCCTGGGGAACTGCTTCGGGCTTTCGAGCCTTTGCACGCCGGGGCTTGGGCTCCTCATCCTCTGGCTCCTCCTGGGGAACCGCTTCGGGCTTTCGAGCCTTCGCCTTTGCACGTCGGGGCTTGGGCTCCTCTGATGGCTCCTCCTCGGGAACCGCTTCGGCCTTTCGCGCTTTCTTGCTCTTTCCACGACCACCCTGCTTGGAATCCTCAGCTGGCTCCTCAGGTTTTCTGGCCTTATCGGCTTTGTTCTTGGGCTTGGTAGCACGGGCTTTGGGGGCAATTGTCACACCCTTTGGCTCATCCTCCTCAGTGTCCTGCGGCTCCTCTTCCTCTGCAAGGTGGGTGCTAGCCTTTGATCTGCGAAGGGGTTCGGCCTTTTCCTTTTTATTCTCCTTCACCTTCGGGGTCTTGGTCGTGGCTGGGCTGGCTGCTGCTGCTGCTGCCTCCTGTTCTCGCAAGCCTTCTCGAACGTTCTCAAAAACTACTACAGCATCAGCATAGGTCAAACGCTCGGATTTCATAAGCTCCTCTAAGCTCATCGTACCTTCACCCGAAAGCCTCTCAGTCAAAGCGATCGGTGGCTCATCCGGGATTCCGTGAGGATTGGTGTGGGAGGCAATCGATAGCTTAGAGCTACATGCACTCGAGGAACTCTTGTTGCCCTTGGCTTTGGTCTTGTCCCTCTCCTCGGCCTTATGCACCTTCAAAGCTCTGATGCCATCACGAACAAGCTTGCCCCTCTTGAGGGCTTCCACCAAGCCCTTGTCCCGGGCCATGCTGCACAAAAGCAGGTCTCACACACACACACGTATGATCGAGCCTGATATAGCACAGAACAAACATGTTTAGGTTGTGAAAAAAATTCCCACGCAGAATCACGCATAATAGCGCTCATTAGCTCGATTATAATGTGCATTGCATGCTTTTTCACGCTGCCCTTTTGTAGGGGCTGCACAGGCCAGTTGCGAATTGGCACCGATGGGATACCTTAGGAATGATCAATAGGGCAATTAGGCCACGAGTCCTGTGTAATTCCTGCAGAGCCATTTAGTATGCAGCAGAGGAGCAGCCATCAGCTCGAATTGTAGCCCATACCATAAACCAAGGGTTATCCTCAACGGCACCCAGAAATCACGACACACAGGCACCTGGAGCCTCGACCTATAGATCTGCCTGGTGGCCAGCTGCAAACCATTCCGTGGAATCAATCATCGGGCCTTGGCATACTTTGTGTGGGAGGAATATATTGATTAAGTCAAATAATCAGGCTATATGGTCTAGCTACTCGGGTTGTGGTTTCCTCTATATGTTGTTGTATTATTGTACATCCAAGCCAAGACTCAGGGGTCCGAGGAAGGACTGTGATTTCTGAACAACGAAAGGGTCTCGTGATTTAGGCTAGGTGCGGCTAGGTGGCTTTATATATATATATATATATATATATATATAGTGCTTTTGTTAGGAGGCTACCTACAGCAGGGGCTTCGGGATTTCTAGTGGGGCCTTACCTAGGCATGATTGTGCGAGTATCCAAGACCCACACGAACGACAATGGTTTGGTGATATGTACCTTAAAAGGTAGGGACACTAAATAGTATAGTGGTAGCTATGATCGAGGTTCGGACGGAGAACCTTGATTTTGGGATAGCTAGAAGGTATTAAGGATGGGATACTCGGGGAAGGACAGTGATTTAGTGAGTTCCTAAAGGCTTTGGGAAGGACCCTGATTTCGTGATGGTTCCAATATTAAGGGGTTTGGGAAGGAGCCTGATTATGAGTCAGGTTGCAGAGTTTGGGGGAAGGACCGTGAATTCGTGAATTTCTAGGGGTTTGGGAGAAGGGACCGTGAATCCGTGAATTTCCTAGGGGTTGGGGGAAGGACCGTGATTTCGTGAAAAATGCAAGGGTTCCACGAAGGACCGTGAATTCGTGAATTTTCGTGGGAATCGTGATTTCTGTTGGGCTGTGTCTGGCTCCTGCTCTAATTCTTAATATAGCACCCCAAACCCGACCGAGAATTCACGAGACATCTCGTGAACGCCCCGGCCCCGGCCACCAGACGAGATTTTCACGAAATCACGCCCTCAAGTCCCAAATCGGTTTATTAGTTTTATCAATAGCATTCAATTTTAGTATGAAGAATAGCAATATTATATTATGTCCTATTATAAATATTACTACTAATAATATTGATGATGTATATATTAATATTAATAGCAGCAGTATTAAAAGTAATCATAATATTAGTATAATTACTACTTGTAGTAATAATACTAATAAAACATGAATATTCATATACCTATCAATACAAATACTTTATCACTATATAATACTCTACTAGTACTACTACTATACTACTATACTACTATACTACTATACTACTATACTACTATACTAATATACTAATATACTACTATACTATACTACTACTACTACTACTACTACTACTACTACTACTACTACTACTACTACTACTACTACTACTACTACTATACTACTACTACTACTACTACTACTACTACTACTACTATTACTACTACTACTACTACTATTACTACTACTATACTACTACTACTACTACTACTACTACTACTACTACTACTACTACTACTACTACTACTACTACTACTACTACTACTACTACTACTACTACTACTACTACTACTACTACTACTACTACTACTACTACTACTACTACTACTACTACTACTACTACTACTACTACTACTACTACTACTACTACTACTACTACTACTACTACTACTACTACTACTACTACTACTACTACTACTACTACTATTACTAGTACTATTACGATTATACTATACTACCACTACTACTATACAACTTCGCTATACTACTACTATACTACTATAATATACTATATTAAACTATACTATACTATACTACTACTACGACTACTATACTACTATGATTGCCAGTATTCGTCAAATTACAGCGGTATTAATATTAGTAGTATATTTGTAGTATTAGTACAGTATTAACAGTACTAGTGGTATTGGTAGTCTTATTATATAGCATCGGTAATCATGTTTTGTATTGGTATAGTATCGGTATAGTACAAACCGTATTTCTAGTATTAGTAGTATTACAAGTATTAGCAGTAATAGTAGTGTTTTAAAGTATTAATATTCGTAGTAGTATTAGCATAGTTATGAATAAAGGTATGAGTATTAGTATTAGCATCAGCTTTATTTTTTAATACTTTATCTAGTACTATATAGTACTTAGTACTAATACTATAGTACAATATAGTGCGACTATAGTGCTACTATAGGACAGCCATAGTGCTACTATAGTGCTGCTATTGTGCTGCGAAATGGCTACTATAGTGCTATTCATAGTAGCACAAGTGCTAGTATACTAGCTAGTACTATAGTAGTAATACCGTGCTAGTATTATAGGCCAGTACTATAGTGCAAGTACTATAGAACTAGTACTCGTGCTAGTACTAGTATTGGTATTGGTGTTACTATTACTATGAGTGTAATATTATTATTACTGCAGCCCGACCCAAGTAAGTCCTGAAATCTGCAACCTGTAATTAAGGTTATACCCGACGTGTGCCAGCAGATTCATGCAAGCTGCTCACCGAGAATTGCCCGCAACTCGTCTCGGAGGCAGTCCTTGGATGATCGAGACAAGACAGAGAAGATCTAGGGAGGCGGAGGGGAGCTTTGGAGGGACGGAGATGGGAGGGAGGAGACCAAACCACAGGCGTGATTGTGTATTAGGGACCTGGGTCCTTGGCTTAGCCAGCTTAGGGGAACTGAAAGCAAACCAGTAGAATGCACGAGAGAGGTGAACGGCAGGTTTACCGGGTTAAAGAAAACACTGACTCGAACCTCATGGCTTCACTCAAATCTCGGCACTGTTGCCACTCGAGCATCCTCACATATAATGTATTCCCCAATCCTCTCCTCTCTGAAACCTTGAACCATCCAAACCCAAACCCTAAGATTCATCTCTCCAGCGAGACCCTATAAGCCCAATTACTAGAAATTTACACTAACTGGATCTTGAACGGGAGAGAAAGTGGGAATTCGATTCTCCCATTACAATCCGACAATTGGCTATTTACGGTCCGGCTGACATAGCACTTTTGGTTTGCTAGGTATGTAGTAGCGACGGGTTTGTACCGCTACGAATATTTCTGATTCAACACTGAACCCCAAACCTGAAGGCTCAAAATCCCAGAACCCAGCCCAAGGCCAATATAAACCAAGCCCAGGTATCCCACTGGCCACGAAAGTGGATGCTCTTGCTGCGAAGCAGATACTTGACACAGGACAGGAGGTCGGCCTGAGTTGATGCATGACACATACGGGAACATAGCTAAAAAAACAGACTTGTCTGACTTAACTAGATGCAGTGTATACATCCTCAGCAGGCAATGCACCTCTGCAAACTCTGCAACAGTTGTCGATCTGAGAAGAGGAAGGAACAGCTCGAAGTCCGTCTTCGACATGTCAATATCAGTGGACATTCTGGGGCCCCCCAATTCATCCTGGGTTCAACCAGAGACAGTACATGAGCCAACACATTCAGTTTTTCCGGAATCCTGCAGATAAGCCTCACTGTCCTGGTTCGTGCGCCAATAGTCTGCCAACAGCAAGCCGAATCTCCGAGGGTATGTCCTGGGCTGGATGTCAGGGCATCATGCATGAGGCTATGTCCCTAGGCAGGATGCGGCTTCGGCTTTTGAAGCCTGAACCCCCAAACCCTCAAAGCCCTATACCCTCAACTCCACACTTGTATAAGCCCCGAACCCTATCAGCCCCATGTATAAGCCCGATATATACAAAGCTATAATCCCTATATATAAGCCCTAAGAGGCCCTTTCCCTAAACAAGTCATCCCGACCCCGTGAAACCCAATATGTTGAACTTCACAGCCAAACAGAATCCACGACTCCAGGGCTTCGAGGTTAAAGCGGCAGACTAATAGTGTTTAGGGATTCAGAGTTTCAGGGTAAAGGGTATTTAGGGCAGCATATATATATATATATATATATATATTTATATTTATATATAGGGCCAAGTATATTGATCAATATATATATATATATATATATATACATACATACATACATACATACATATAGCCTCTAACAGGGTCTAAGGCGGTTTTCGGAAAACAATAGGTGCCATCTTCCTATAGGTCCACAAACAAAGACCTTGCCGGGGGTCGAAGTGTTTGTTTACCGGGTTTACCGAAGCTTTAACACATGCAGTCGGGCATCTGACTCTGCTTGAGGCTCTATTTCACCCCCGTAAAAGTTCGTTGTCCAAACCTGGACCTGCTGCGACCGTGGTGGGCCAGAGCCACTTGTGTCATTTTCTCCCGTTGTGATGAAGTCATGTACCCACCCTGAGCTGTAATTGCTGCAAGGAGAGACCGGGCATTGCTATATCCGATATGGCGCTTGCAGCTCAGCTGGCCAAAGAATCCCATGTACCACTTGGCCTCGAATACCTGATGGCATTTAGTAGCTCCGTGCTAAGAACCAGAGATATGTCATGCAAGATAAGAGTACACTACAAGCTTCCGTGCAGAAACGGCACATGAACTCTTCCCTGCAAAAACTCCATCCATGGATGCATCCCCACACAGCTCTGGAAGGGCTGCTCGATCAACCATCTCACTTTTCGTGAGCTCAGTAGCAAAGCCAGAAGGCAAACCCTTGCGAGCAGAAGGTTTCCGGTAGCCACCGACCCATAGCCAGTATTGCCATTCGGATTGATTTCGTTCCTCCCACTCGTAGCTCTGGACCTTGAATGGCAGCACACGAGTTAATTCAACACTATGTGGAATTGAACACCGTCATGTAAACTTCTGTTTGAAGATAAGCAACATTACCGAGAAAGAGTTGCAAGGGAGCGCCAGGATTACCAGACCGCCTTCTTTTACTCGTCGTGCTTCATTTAAAGCCAGCCTGCCAACCGGCGGTTGCCAACCCAGCAGCATAAACAAATTTCACACAATGCAAGGTTTAGGGGTTTGGGTTTCGGGTGTTTGGGTTTCGGGTGTAAGGGTTTCATCTTAAGGCGAGCAGCAAAAAGCCAGATGGCTTCGTCAAGTCCATGGCAACGGGGTCGGTGTCTAGATCTATGCTGGATCCACGAGCTCCAGCATCCTCGCAAGGAGCAACTACGTATCACGAAAGAGGTCTTACAGTAGATCCGATAGGCTAAACCCAGAAATTGCCGAATTCCAACAAATCCCACAAACACCATCCCCTACCTGATTGCCAAACTCCAGTCCTGTCTCAGGCACTGGGAGACATGGCCCATCCCGGCGAAAACCTCGAGGAAGTCCAGATCCTGCTGTGCGTGGTGGTGGCTGCGGCGGTTAAGGGTCTTGGCTTACAAATAAAACCCGAAACCCTACCGAGCCTTGCCCATATATAGTTCTGAATAAGTTTCTGAACAACAATATTATTGCCTCTATTATGATGCAGCTGTTCGGTCCTGCCCCTGAAGAGCTGACTCATAAAAGCCAAGCAGTACACACAGCAGGATGAAGGGCACGGGCGCCCGCCATTGGAGCAGCTCTGCCACCACCATAATTCGTCAAGGTCGGACCCTGAAATCTGAATCCTGACAACCACACTCCGAAAAGCGAGACTCCCTATAGAAGAGCGGCGAAGTCACCAACCCAGAACCAGGACCTAGCTAGTGCACTAAAGGATCAGTATACTCAAGCAGAAACAGGAAACCCAACACAAAACCAATAAGTACTGGCATACCTTAGGTGCAGCATCTATATGTACAAAATAAATGTATGAATAACATGCACACACATTCTTTAATTCTCATGAATCAATAGACATATGTATGCACATACACATGTTTCTATCTGTAATATACTACACATATGTACACACACACACATACATACATGCATCCATGCATGCATGCATGCATACATACATAGCCACACACACACACACACACTTCTGTGCACCCTGTATAGACATGTGTGTACACCTGAGCCTTGGGTTTGCGGTTTCGACCAGGTTTTCAGCGACCCACGCATCGAAGGAGTCCAGAACTATGGGTTTTGGGGGAACGGTTAGGCAGAGGGCCCAAGGTTCGGGTTTAACGGCCTGAATAAAGTTAAGGGATGCTTGATTCGGGTCTAGCTTCAAAGTTCAGGGTTGAAATGGGTTTCGGCTGTAGTAAACATGACTGCACTATGTCATACCTAGAGTGCATCTGAGGCGAGCGAGCAACTTCAGGAACATCTCTGCAGTGGTGGCCCTGCGTGCACTGGCTGCCCTGCTAGCAGCTTCCAGGCAGACTGATCGGATAAAGATTTTCAGCTTGTTCCGGGTCCCCGCAAGCATCTAGCTGGCAGCATGTGCATTCAGTAATGCACCGGCCAAATTGTGCACATCACATTTGTGAAGACAGCTCAGACCGAAAAGCCTAAATAAATCTTCTCTTTTTCAGCTGACCATGACTCATGCCTTCCAGAAGCTTCGCCCGTCTTTCGGAGGTGTTCCATCGCTTGCAGGCTTCACTCCACGTCACATCTTCACTCTTGCGTAGGTCGGCAATGAACTTAAGGCGGATTTCTCGAAACTCCCCTGGTTTGTAAAGGCAAGCTGAGTTGTTGGATGCAGGATTCTTCTCAGCACATGGCTTTGACTTCTTCTTATTTCCTCCTTTCTTCTTCTTCTTCTTCACACTCTTCTTCTTTTTCTTTTTGGGTTTCTCACCCTCATCTTCCTCACATCCAGCCTCACTTTCCTGACACCACCTCATCTATTCAGGATTAAGTGGACAACCAAAGCAAGGTTTGCTGAAAGTGCACTTGACTGTCAACTTCCATCACATGTTGCGTGCAAGCGGCTGCTCGCTGGGCAGGATGGCTCGCGTCTTGACCTTCGCGATGGATTCCAGGCTGTCAAGAACCTGATCTAGCAAGGTATGGTTGATGGGTCCGAGGGTGACCCAGGTAATTATTATTGTGGCATATAGCATATGGAGGGTGGCATGCTCTAAATCAGCGAAGAAACCGTCGATGGCAAAGCTGAAAAGCGGGAGCTAGTCAGGGCATCAGGAGACTTCTCGTTCGAAGGGCAGCATTTTCCAAGAATGCGTGCAGCAATGCTCCTTATTCCAGCAGAAGCAATTGCATGATCCTATATAGGTTCCTCTGCATGGCCCAGAAGTTTAGCCAAGAATCTTGAGCTCCTTAGGCTTCGAGTCTTGGTGGGCAGCATCCATAGTTTGTCGTGGGGCTCGTTTGGGCACCTGAGCTGATAGCTGGGATAACCGGCTAACCCTTTACCTAAGCCTGAAGTAGCAGTTCATCCCAGGAGCCTCGGGCGGGTCGGCAAGCATCTGCAGCTGGGCGTCGTGATCCAAGCCGTCGTCGGACGACTCTTCTTCTGAAGACTCACAGCTGCTCGCATCCTGGGAGCAGGCTTATGGCTGATTATGGTCGGGTAGGCTTCGGGGGATTTGAGGTTTCGGGCGGCGGGCTTCGGGTTGTGTGAAATTTAGGTTAAGAATATAGAATCTAAACTCATTGTAGCAGAGACTCATTGTCCTTCGAAGGCAGATAATCCTTCAGCTCATTCTTTAGCTCCATAAGCGTTGAATTTCGGGAAGAACGTGCACGTCGAAGGAGCGGCTTGAACTTGGTAACCTCAAAAACTACAGTCATTGCAGAACCCACCTCGCGAGACCTAATGCCTGTGATACTTAACTGAACTGCCAAGAAACCAGTTTGCGAAGGGCTAGGCCAGCTCGGCATGCATAATCTCGTACAGCTTGGCTAGCTATAGTTATTCCCCTCGGCAAGACGTCGCTGTCGTTGAAATAATACAGGATAGCATCCATATACACATACGAGCTCAATCGTCTTCGGCTTCGCGGGGTTCCACGAACTGCTGCAGCTATAGCCTCAATACTAACAGTAGCATCTAGAGCACAGAACCTAATTTGGCCTAGCAAACTTGTACCTCTAAACAGCAACCGAGAATCCCGGGCATTTGCTATCACATCTTTGCGTGTGCAAGCACGTCGTTGACTAAGCAGTTTGCCACTGGTATCTACCAGCAAGGATATACCTGCCTCAGATGTTTGAAGAACCCACACAAAGCAAATGCTTTGGCTCAGCTAAATATACAAATCCTACAACAATATGCTTGTTCGATCAAAACGATGCTATGCCCAGAAAAGTCACTGCGTGCAAACTCTCTTCTTTAGCCAGCTCACGAGCTACAACTACTGCTTCGGACCCAGGCTCAAAAACGACCTTGCCCTTCTTCGGCGGCATGGTTTCACCCGCATGCACTACAAACCTGGAGCCACCTCGCCTTCGGAAGGAAAACAAGAGCTTCAAGCCGTCTCCAACACAGCACTGCTACATCCTGATTTCCCAACACACTCTTAAGCGGGGGGTGGGCGCACCGACAGCCTCGCAAAGATATGGCCCAGCCCGGCGTGGCATGCCGGGATCACCCAGCAAGCCATGATCGATGCACACATAAATCGCTTTCACAATGCTGCTATTTCTAAGCCATGCGGAATCATATCAGAAGCCTATGCAGCTCCTAAGAACTGAATTTCGGAATATAGAGCTCTGCCACTCGACTCATGAAGACTTGCGACTTATCGGCAAGAACTCAGCACGTGAAACCTGCAGCAGCATCCGTATCTGTGGGTTTTACAGGTTGAGAGCTGTTCATCGGTTTAAATTCGGCTTGCAGAACGGGGTCTTATAGAGGTTTTGGAGGCATGAGAGGGATAGAGCCTTCGAGGTTGGGGAGCTGTGGTTGGGGAGTTTATCTGGCTACGGAAGCTGGGATTCTGCCTACACATGCAGCAGTGGGATCTGTAGAGCTTTGGTTGTTTGGGAGCTGTTGCTGAAGAGTTCACATCTGCCTACACTAACAGCCCAGAGACTCCAATACCCGTTAATTAAGGAATATTCCTTGAATCATATTAGGGATCCTTACTACAATTTAAGGAATATTCCTTAATTAACGGGTATTGGAGTCTCTGGGAGCTTGTGGGATCTTTGGAGCTTAGAAAATTCAGCTGTTGCCTGGGAGTCTGCTTGCGGTAGCAATATGGGTCCTTAGAGCTTTATTTGGAGGCTGGGGAGTCGGTATAAATTGCTCGGGAGTACATTTGCCTACAGCAGCTGTGGGCTCTTTAATGGCTTTGGAATCTGGGAAGCTGTTGCTTAGAATTTGCCTACAGCACCAAAAGGATCTTTAAAGCTTTATTTGGAGGTTTGGGAGCTGTTGCTCGGGACTTCATCTGCCTACAGCAGCGCCGCGGGATCTTTAGAGGTTTTCGAGGATTTAGATTGGAAGTTGGGGATTGCTCGGGAATTGTGCCTGGGTACAGCAACGGGATCTTTAAATCTGTTGGAGATTGGAAAGCTGTTGCTAGGATAAGTGTGACTCGCGGGGCTGGTTTATCAGGCTTTAACCTGGGCTTGGGATTGCTAGTGCCCGAAATTCAACAGAATGCCGTGAATTCTATGAAATCCTTGGCCAACCGGATCCTCAGCCCCAGACCCACCAAAACAAAAACCGAAGCCAAACCCCAAACCCTGAACCTGACCCCAAATTCTAAAACCGCACAGCACAAAGCCCTGGTCTTGGAAACACTTTGGGGCCCCGGCAGGACGTACAAGTTTCGAGCATGTTATTCGTCTCTATGGTGTATATTTAGGGGTTAAGGTTTTTTCCACCGCACATTTAAGGTTTTTTTCGCACCGAAAAGCACATGCATAGCTAGGGAACGGAGAGTTCAGTCAGTACGCAGACCGGACAAGCTTGGCAGGAATTCGGCTGGAAACCACAATTTTAATCCCCACTGCATTGAAAACACATTTCCTGGCCAATTTTCTTGAATTCAGTGCACTCATACAACCATACCCTGTACAAAGCAAAACCGGCGAAATACACAAAACAAAAAAAATTGACTGGTTAGCATGGGAAGTCCTCGGCACACCAAATTATATAGGTCATTTGAAACGCACCTTATAATAGGGCACATTCATTTGGGCGCACGCACGTATTTTTAAAGGACATCAGGTCTTCCAGGATCGGGCATATTCCAACGCACAGAACAATTTTTCCGACGTCCTTCGCTTCTTGAATGCTTTCATGCAGCTTCAGTTCCCTGAAGCTTCCTGGAGTTCCTTGTGTGTCAGCCACAACGTTCGTACACGATTGCACACAGATTCTGGTAATGCCGCAGGCACCCTCAACCATACAGTGTCCCTGGGCAACTTCAGCGGTGGTGAAGTCTGGCTGTGCCCCGCTTTGGATCCGGAGGCGCCACGGGTCTCGGCCCCCTTGGACGCTTCGTCTGAGGCCCAGAGCGCGAAAAGCGCAGGCCAAGGTGAGTTGCGGGACACCTGGCACTCGCCGCTTTCTTTCAGCTGTGACTCGCTTCACTGTACAATGCCGATTCAAGGAGATAGGTGGGTTTTGACTGCCTATACATGCAAGAACTTGCACCACTTTGACGCAAAGTCTCTTGCACACTTGCGGTCATTGGGCTTCCCACTCCCATCGGCAAGTCCTGCTACTGCTACCCCTCAGCCATTGAAGCCCCCGCTCAAGGATGCAACATGCGTTGAGCTCTTCCTGGACATATGCTGTGGGGCTTCCCACCCGCTTACCACGGCACTGTCAGCTTGCGGCATTACGTGTTTGCCCATAGATTTGCTTGGCGAGGAACCGCTGGACCTCCTGAATGACGACACGTACGACCACCTTCTTCGGCTGTGCTTTTCGGGAATCATCCGCTTGGCCCACGGCTCTCCGCCTTGCAAGGAGTACTCTCGACTCAAGCTTCGTCCAGGCGGTCCCCCGGCTATTCGGTCACCTGAGCATTTGAATGGCCTACCAGGGAATACCGCTTCACAGCAAGCCAGAGTGCAGAGCAGTCAGAAGCTTTTATATCGCTGTGTGTGCCTTCTTCGCGCAGCTTTCAATTCCGGCGCACACGTTTCCCTAGAACAGCCCACCAACGCTATGTCTTGGCTTGAACCTTTCGTGCAGGACATGTTATCGGAAATTCAGGCTTCGCTTGTCAACATCCCGGCATGCTCGTTGGGCGAGGACATAGCTAAATCTTGGCTCTTCGCATGCAGTTACGGCGACTTGCGTGCCCTGGCACATGAAGGGGGCCACCGATCGGTTGCAGGCACCAGGGATGAGCTCGGCAACTTCCTGTCACAAAGGACGGCAGAGTATCCGTCCCAGCTCGCCAACCGCTTTGCGGCAAAAGCAGTTCATCTCTTTTCTTCGGCCAGGCCCTCATACCCTATGTCACCCTGCTCTTTGGAGTTCGCGCTTTCCGCCATTCCTAAAAAGCCCCGATCAACACCGCCTACAGCTGCACAGGATGGGGGGGGCATCTACTCGCTGCCGGACTGGTCTATGGGCCCCAGATACCAATCCGACAGCCTGCATGATTTGCGCAAAGAATGGCAATCCTGGCTGCTTTCGCGCAGGATACCTCTACGGCTTCAACAACATGTCGCTTCAGGCAGCAATAGCCCGCTTTTCTCGGCAGAGGAAACGACATGGCTGCGCGACTCCTTCAAGCGCTTTTCAGACTCCCATTCCCCTGCTCAGGATTGGGATTTTGCTGTCAAGGAAGGCCAGCCATATTGCTTGTCTGCCCTCGAACGCTTGAGCACTCTTCTGGGTGACAAGGACACAACCCTATTTCCTGCTTTACAGAAAGGTGTTCCTACGGGGTTTGACGGCGACATACCACGCAGCCACACCTTGCGCTCCCGCAACTCCGAAGATTCAGAAAACCCCACAGACTTGCTCGTTTGTGAAGGCAACTGGCAGGGCGCTGAGGCGGACCCGGCACTGCTTCAGGAGCTGATCGAGGAGGAGGCGTCCGCTGGTTACACCGAGGAAATGCCCAGCCTAGAGGCCGCTTACGAAAGGTGGGGCAAAGATCGGGTGGCAGTAGGCCGCGTCAACATCGTC